TGGCCTCAAACTCCTAGGCTCAAGTGATCCTCCTGCCTGGGCCTCCCAAAGTGCTGGGATTACAGGCATGAGCGAGCACCCAGTTGTAAGGAAAAGTTTTAATGAGGAAAAGAGCTCTATTTTACCCCACTTCTCTCCCTTAAATTTGATGCTTACTAATTTCCCTGTGTTACTGTGAAAATTGTGCTTAGATCCTCTAGGAATGCAGTGGCGGGGGGAAAATGTCCTTAGAGACTTTAGAGTAAACAGATGCCCAAGGGACCAGGACTTGCCCAAGGCCCCGGCCACCACTTACCATTTCCTATACTGGTACCACATGCAATGGGGTGGGCGGGGGTCCTCAGGGTTTTCATTGCTGTTCCTTGTTCTCCATGTCTGCAAATCTATTTCTGAGGAAGTAGCTATAGTCCTCCGCTCTACCAGCTGAGCTATCGAAGGGATGCGTGCAAATCTATTTCTAACTGCAGCTGAGGTCCATAGCTCAATGAGTCAGATTATCATAACTGTCAAGAACTGTCTCGTTCTAGAGAAGGCCTGTAACAGGCCAGAGGGAAGAAGTGATCCAACTTCTTTGCTGAGGGCAAAGAGAAAGAAAGTCAGATAAGATTCAGCAATTTGTGGCCAGGTGCGATGGTTCACACCTGTAATCCCAGCACTTCCCAGCACTCTGGGAGGTCAAGGTGGGCAGATCACCTGAGGTCAGGAGTTCAAGACCAGCCTGGTCAACATGGCAAAACTCCATCTCTACTAAAAATACAAAAATTAGCCAGGTGTGGTGGTGTGGTGCCTGTAATCCCAGCTACTCAGGAGGCTGAGGCAGGAGAATCACTTGAACCTGGGAGGCAAAGGTTGCGGTGAGCCAAGATCTCGCCACTGCATTCCAGCCTGGGGGATAGAGGGAGACTCTGTCTCCAAAAAAAAAAAAAAAAAAAAAAAAAAAAAAACATTCAGCAATGTGGACAAGATTTCCACCTTACACTGGAGGAGGGAATCTGGCTCTGGGATCTCATTCTTGGAGGAATGGCTAGAGCACCTACACCACCTTTTACAGATGAGTCCACTAAAACTAGATCTGGAAAAAATACTTGCTCTACAGAGGAAGGAAACTGAGGGATAATATCTGTGCTATACACAAAATGCTTTTTTAAAAAAAACTTTTTAAACATTTGATTGATTTATTTAAAAAGAGGGGGGTCTCACTGCGTCTCTCAGGCTGGAGTATAGTGGCACTGTTGTAGCTCACTTCAGCCTCGAACTCCTGGACTCAAATGATCCTCCTTGGCCAGGCGCAGTAGCTCATGCCTGTAATCCCAGCACTTTTGGAGGCTGAGGCAGGTGGATCACTTGAGGTCAGGAGTTCAAGACCAGCCTGCCCAAAATGGTGAAACCCTGTCTCTCTAAAAATACAAAAATTAGCTGGGCATGGTGGCAGGCGCCTGTAATCTCAGCTACTCCAGAGGCTGAGGCAGGAGAATTGTTTGAACCCAGGAGGTAGATGCTGAGCCGAGATTGCACCACTGCACTTCAGCCTGGGCAAAGGAGCAAGAAAAAAAAAAAAGAAAAGGAAGGTCCTCCTGCCTCACCCTCCTAGTAGCTGGGACTACAGATGTGCACCAGCATGCCCAGCAATTTTTGTTTTTTGTAGAGATGAGAGTTTCACCATGTTGCCCAGGCTGATCTAGAACTCCAGGCTTCAAGCGATCTTCCCACTTCAATCTCCCAAAGTGCTAGGATTACAGGGGTGAGCCACTGCACCCAGCCCACAAAGGGCTATTATAACTGATATGAAAAATCTATCAAACATTAGAAAAATGGTCCAAAGATGGGTGAGGCAGCTCACTGAAATAAATGCATGGGAAGATGCCCAAGGTCACTGTGGCAGGGGAATGAAAGAAACACGGAGATGGCTCTGCATCCTGTGGTCTGGGGGCATCCTGGGAGAGGGGTGGTTCATCACACACAGCTGCTGGGATGCCAAGGTGACAGCAGCATTGAGGAAAAGGATTGCAAACATCCCTGGACCCAACCCGAACCCCCCATGCAATCCAACTCACAGAAATCAAGCCCTTCAATGTATACACGTATCCATAGCAGCAAAACACTGAAGGCAGAATGAATGCCATTTCACAGGCGAATGCAGGATGTTCGGGGAAGGCCATGCAGCCATTAAAGACGCTGAATTAGCAGTGTCCCTGGGGAGACAGGGAAGGAGGCACAGAAGCTAGGAATAAGGACTCTGGCTGGGCGTGGTGGCTCATGCCTGTAATACCAGCACTTTGGTATTACAGGCAGGGAGGCTGAGGCAGGGAGATCACCTGAGGTCAGGAGTCCACAGGTGAAAGCAGGATTCTCCCAGGAAGGCCACGAAGCCATTAAAGATGCTGAATTAGCAGTCTCCCTGGGGAGACGGGGAAGGAGGCCCAGAGGCTAGGGATAAGGACTCTGGCTGGGCCTGGTGGCTCACGCCTGTAATCCCAGCACTTTGGGAGGCTGAGGCGGATGGATCACAAGGTCAGGAGTCCACAGGTGAATGCAGGATGCTCCCGGGAAGGCCACATAGCCATTAAAGATGCTGAATTAGCAGGGTCCCTGGGGAGACACTGAAGGAAGGAGGCGCAGAGGCTGGGAATAAGGACTCTGGCCGGGCGGGGTGGCTCACGCCTGTATTGCCAAGACATTGGGAGGCTGAGGCTGGTGGATCACTGGGTCAGGAGTCCACAGGTGAAAGCAGGATTCTCCCAGGAAGGCCATGCAGCCATTAAAGATGCTGAATTAGCAATGTCCCTGGGGAGACGGGGAAGGAGGCCCATAGGCTAGGGATAAGGACTCTGGCTGGGCACGGTGGCTCACGCCTGTAATCCCAGTACTTTGGGAGGTGGAGGCGGGCGGATCACAAGGTCAGAAGTTGAGACCATCCTGACCAACATGGTGAAACCCTGTCTCTACTAAAAATACAAAAATTAGCTGGGCGTGGTGGCGGGCCCCTGTAATCCCAACTAATCCGAAGACTGAAGCAGAAGAATCTCTTGAATCCGTGAGGCAGAGATTGCAGTGAGCCAAGATGGTGCCACTGTACTTCAGCCTGGGTGACAGAGAGAGATCCCATCTCAAAAAATGAAAAAGTGTTTGCTAAGTAAATGTCTTAGAAAATAATAAGCTTGTTATTGAATAAGAAAGTTAAGTTGCAGCCAGCCATGCTAACTCATGCCTGTGATCCCGGGACTTTGGTAGGCCCAGGTGAGGACTGCTTGAGGGCAGGAGTTTAAGGCTGCAGTAAGCTCTGATTGTGCCGCTGCACCCAGCCTGAATGACAGAGTGAGACTCCGTCTCAAAAAAAAAATTGTTTTGAAAAGCCAAGATCCAAAAACTATTGTCACCTGCATTGGCAAGACCCTATAGATGTCTACATGTGTCTGGTTTCATGAGCATAGAAACTACGGGACACATAGTTAGCTGTCAACAGGACTGCCAGAGGAGGAAGTGTTTGTGTATGGGGGGAGTAGGAGGGAAGTAGGCAAAATAAAAATATTTAAAGCTTCATTATCATTTTTTTTCAGGATGGGTCTTGCTCTGTCACCCAGGCTGGAGTGCAGTTGAACGATCTTAGCTCCCTGCAACCTCCGCCTCCTGGGTTCAAGCGATTCTTGTGCATTAGCCTCCCAAATAGCTGGCTCCCGCCACCACACCCGCCTAATTTTTGTATTTTTAGTAGAGACGAGGTTTCGCCATATTGGCCAGGCTGGTCTCAAACTCCTGACCACGTGATCCACCCGTCTTGGCCTCCCAAAGTGCTGGGATTATAGGCGTGAGCCACTGTGCCTGGCTTTATGATTATTTTTAGGTAGTCATTAAACTATATACATGCATATGCATAGAGAAAGTTTCCCTGACTGAAAAATAAGGAAACAGGAAAGAACTTCTCTATCTCCCATGGGGTCAGGGGCAGGGCACCCCAGCAGTGTGTAAAGAGCAGAAGTCCAGCCAATGATGGACTCTTCCCAAAACATCACTTGCTTATTTTGAAATCAGACAATTTCTCATAAATATTTACTCCCGGCCGGGCGCGGTGGCTCAAGCTTGTAATCCCAGCACTTTGGGAGGCCAAGGCGGTGATCACGAGGTCAAGAGATCGAGACCATCCCGGTCAACATGGTGAAACCCCGTCTCTACTAAAAATACAAAAAATTAGCTGGGCATGGTGGCGCGTGCCTGTAGTCCCAGCTACTCAGGAGGCTGAGGCAGGAGAATTGCCTGAACCCAGGAGGCGGAGGTTGCAGTGAGCTGAGATCGAGCCATTGCACTCCAGCCTGGGTAACAAGAGCGAAACTCCGCCTCAAAAAAAAAAAAAAAAAAAAAAAAAATTTACTCCCAATGCTGGGAAGAGGGAGAGGGGAAGGAGGTACTGAAACTCCATCAATCATCTGAAGGACTGCCTTTTATCAGAGTGATGTTCCCTAGTGGGTTGTTTGCAGTTTCCTCCTCCCCAGTTCTGGGCCTCAGCTGTCAAAATGATTTCACCATGCAACTTTTTCATGCTAGTTGGGGCCAAGAAGATAATAGATGGGAAAAAGCTCTGAAAACTCCAGGATGACAAGTAGGTACCCTCCTCACTCACAGAAGAAATTACTGCCCCACCATTCCCAGGTGGCCCTCAAATCCATCCTCTACACAGTACTAGTTGGTGGGAGTTTCCAAAGTGTAAATGGAATAATGTCATCTGTTCTTAAAACCATTTATTGTCAAGGCCAGTCGGTAGTTCACACCTCTAATCCCAGCACTTTGGCAGGTAGAGGCAGGAGGATCACTTGAGCCCAGGAGTTCAAGACCAGCCTGGGAGCCATAATGAGACCTTGTCTCTACAAAAAGTTTAAAAATTACCCAGTCATCGTGGTGCATGCCTGTAGTCCTAGCTAACCGGGAGGCTGAAGACCCAGGAGACTGAGGTTGTGCTACTGCACTCTAGCCTGGGTGACAGAGCAAGATCTTGTCTCAAACAAAAATGAAACAAAACAAAAACCCATTTATTGTCATCCAAATTCCTTATCTGCCTACAAGACCGGGTGGATCTGGCCTCCTGCACTCTGGAGGCCACAGGCGCCTCATTCTCTCTCCAATCTCTTGCTTTTCACACATGGTTCCCTCCATTGGCCTGGAAACCTCTCTCCCCACCCTGCCACCTCCCCGACTCCCCCATTTCGCAGGCCTCAGTCGGGATGTCGCTTTTCCAGGAAGCCTTCCCAGTCTCCTCAGGGCTGGTTAGGGGCCCCAGGATTGTCGATGCCTGGGCTTTGGCTATCAGATTCGTAAAGGCAGAGGCCAAATCCCCGCTGCCTGCCGTCTCCTGGGACTTTTTGGGGCCGGGATACGATGACCTCCACCAGGTGTCTGCACCTCTGTCATCCTATCCCTACTCGGAGCAGAGACTGAGGGCTGCTAACTGGGACTGGCTAGTTTGGGACACGCTGTGGGGGGCCTTGGGAGGATGTTGACGAAAGGATTGAGTGCCCGCTAAGGGAGGGGACGTCCCGGAGCGTGCCACTCACAAACAGGGTCCCGGGCCTGCCCCTCACCAGGATGGTGCACACACGAGGCGTGGCTTATTGGTGCAAAGGGGCAAGGAGGGAGGGAGTTTGGAGCGGTGCTGATTGGTGGTGGGCAGGGCGGGGCGGTACTGATTGGCGGTGGGGCGGGGTGAGGCCGCGCTGATTGGCCGGGGGCGGAGCTGGGCGTCTCCAGCCTGGGCCTAGCGCGCTGCCGGGGGCGCCGCAGGGGCTATGTCGCCGGCGCGGTGCCACCTGCGCGCTGCTCTGTTTCTGGCAGCGGCTTCTGCGCGCAGCGTAACGACCCAGGTTGCGGCGCGGCGGGGCTTGAGTGCGTGGCCGGTGCCACAGGAGCACAGCATGGAGTACCAGGTATCAGGCGGGCAAGCGGGCGAGAGCACGACAACACGTGGGCCTGCGCTGAGCCGCAGAACATCCGGGCTCGGCTAACAGAGAGCTTACCCGGAGCCCCGGACTGGGGGACTCGGGGGGCGGAACATCCTGGAGTCTGGGGGTGGGGACAGGGACCAGGAAGTTGGGCCCGGGCCGCCTGATCTGGGAATTCGGAGACTGTATCGTCCTTGCCCCGGGTTGGGGAGTGGGAAGGGGCACTGGAGCTAGGATCCAGAAGCCCAGAGGCTCAGCGGTGGTTCTGGAGTTCAGTGATCCCGGAGTCTGAACCTGCAGTGGGAGTGGGGAAAGAGGAGAGGGAAGAGACTCAGAAATTCAAGCTTGAAAGATCCAGGAGTATAGATGGAGTGTGGGGTCTCAAGAATTCAGAAGATTGGGGATCTAATTGCCTGGAATTGGGGGATAGGCAGGAATCAGGGGTAGTGGAGGGCCCCAGAACCCGGGAAACAAAATGTCTGTGGGCGCTGTGCCAAGAGCCAGTTGCCCTAGAACAGAATCTGATGCCACTGAGGCGGGTGGCACTGGTTTGATGATAGTGGGGCCTCCAAACAGCCGTGAGGTCCTAAGGGCGAGAGACACGGAATATGAGGCCTGAGGGGAAGGAAATAGCATCCCAATTCCCACCTCCATTGTGAGCCCTCCTGAAGCTGTACCTACCTGCCTTCCTGGCGGAGTGACCCCTGGCACATCCCTCCTCCCTCTGAGCCCCTCTTTCTCATCTGGTTGCTCTTCTGTGGGTTGGAATGTGGAACCTGAGTCTTGAGGGTTGGGTTGAAGCCTCAGGGAATTCCAGAATTTGAATACCCCAACCTTCTGTAGTTCTGGCCCCACCCTGGCAGAGAGCAATGGACCCCATTGGAGGGAATGAGGGCAAAGGCCTAGGAGTGAAGCCAAGGGAGTCTGGACAGGAATCAAGGCCAGCCCACTAGGCACGCCACCTTCTTTATGTGGCACTCCTTGGGTGGGGCTGAACTGCCCCAGGCTCCATCCCTTTTTGCTAGAGCTGGAAAGTTGCCATGCTCTCTTTCTGTTTAACGTATGGGCTAGGGTAACAGGGCTGGCAGGGCAGGCCTGGTACTGCCCCTGTTGCCCTGGCTTGGCCACTGGCCTGCTGGCTGTTTCTGTGCCTTTGGACCCTGAGTGAACCTTAACCTGCTACTGTGGTTGCCAGGATGCCGTGCGCATGCTCAATACCCTGCAGACCAATGCCAGCTATCTGGAGCAGGCGAAGCACCAGCGGGGTGACCCCCAGACACAGCTGGAAGCCATGGAACTGTACCTGGCACGAAGCGGGTTGCAGGTAAGGTAGAGAGGGCCTGTGACCACCTCCCACCCCCATCTGTGATTTCCATAGCTGAGGGGGGGACCTCATTTGTCTGTCCCAGGTGGAGGACCTGGACCGGCTGAACATCATCCACGTCACTGGGACAAAGGGGAAGGTGAGGGGCAGGACCCAGGGGTAGTGGGTCCACTTAGTGGGCTGGCAGAGTAGAGCCTGCCCAGACAATCCCTTTTCTTTTAAGGGCTCCACCTGTGCCTTCACTGAATGTATCCTCCGAAGCTATGGCCTGAAGACGGGATTCTTTAGGTACTGGGTTATGGAGGGATGTGGTGTCTCTGTCCCAATGGACTCTGGGGGGCTATCGAATCAGCCAGTGCTTCAGTACCAGAGTCACCCCCAGGAGGTCAGCTCAGCTGCATGTCTCTCTGCCCAATATTTATTCATTCAATAAACATTCAGTTAGCACTTACCACATTGGCCCACATTTATGGCAAGCTTTAATTTTCTTTTTATTTTTTTTCAAGACTGAGTCTTGCTCTATTGCTCAGGCTGGAGTACAGTGGCACAATTTTGGCTCGCTGCAACCTCTGCCTCCTGGGTTCAAGTGATTCTCACACCTCAGCCTCCTGAGTAACTGGGATTACAGGCGCCCACGACCACACCTGGCTTTTTTTTTTTTTTTTCAGTCAGAGTCTTGCTCTGTCACTCAGGCTGGAGTGCAGTGGCCAATCTCAGCTCACTGCAACCTCTGCCTTCTGGGTTCAAAGCAATTGTCCTGCCTCAGCCTTCCAAGTAGCTGGGATTACAGGTGCCTGCCACCACACCCAGCTAATTTTTGTAATTTCAGTAGAGCTGGGGTTTTACCGTATCAGCCAGGCTGATCTCAAACTCCTGACCTCAAGTGATCCCGCCCACCTTGGCCTCCCAAAGTGCTGGTAATTACAGGTGTGAGCTACTGCCCTTAGCCTTAATTTTCATAATGAAAAACATTGGGGAAGGGGCAGCAACTCGAATGTATAAACTAAAAATGTAGCAGGAGGCTGGGTGTGGTGGCTCATGCCTATAATCCCAGCACTTTGGGCGGCTGACACGGGAGGATCACCTGAGCCGGGGAAGGTCAAGACTGCAGTTAGCAGTGATCACGTCATTGCACTTCAGCCTGGGCAACAGAGCAAATGACTGTCTCAAAAAAACAAAACAAAATTACATAGCTGGAATAGTCAGATGTTTCTTTAATAACTTAAAGTCCAGGTTGAGTGTGGTGGCTGACAACTGTAATCCTAGTGCTTTGGGAGGCCGAGGTGGGAGGATCACTGGAGCTTAGGAGTTTGATACCAGCCTGGGCAACATAGTGAGACTTCATCTCTATAAAAAACATTAAATGAAAAAGGAAAAAATTTTAAAGTCCATATATAAGTTTAAAGTCACATAGAGATATTTATCAGTTACTATGTCTCTGGGGTAAGGAGCAGAAAACTGCCTTGAGAGGGCTTAAACAATAAGGGTGGCTTGTGCCATCTGGGTTAGGGTCTTCCAGGTTGGTTGCGGATAGGAGCTCTTCTGCTATGCGGGTCTCTGCTGTGGTTTTGCTCTGGAGGCAGCGTCCCTTCTTGGTCTCACTTGTCTAGACTCACACAAGAGGATGGCCTGGTAGAACCGGGATCACTCAGGCCTGGTGCAGTGGCTCACACCTGTAATCCCAGCACTTTGGGAGGCCAAGGTGGGCAGATCACAAGGTCAAGAGATCGAGACCATCCTGGCCAACATGGTGAAACCCCGTCTCTATTAAAAATACAAAAAAAAATTAGCCGGGTGTGGTGGTGTGTGCCTGTAGTCCCAGCTACTCAGGAGACTGAGGCAGGAGAATTGCTTGAAACCGGAAAACGGAAGTTGCAGTGAGCTGGGATCTCGTTACTGCACTCCAGCTTGGTGATAGAGTGAGACTCTGTCTCAAACAAACAAACAAACAAAAAAAGGATCACTCTTCCTGTGCCTCACACGTCTCTCCTGAGCCCAGTACCAGGAACATCTGAAATCAGATGCCTAAGGTCATTTCAGGCCAATATGTTTTCCCTAAATAGTTCTTGTTCAAAATAAAGAGATAGAGAAGAGGACCTAATACTTGAGGGTCTTTGAGTATTGAAACATAAGGCACCAACCTGTCTTCTAAAATCATTTTTTGGGCCAGGCTCAGTGCTGTAATCCCAGCACTTTGGGAAGCCGAGGCGGGCAGATCACTTGAGGCCAGGAGTTCAAGACCAGCCTGGCCAACATGGCAAAACCCTCTCTCTACTAAAAATACAAAAAAATTGGCTGGGCACAGTGGCTCACGCCTGTAATCCCAGCACTTTGGGAGGCCGAGTTGGGCGGATCACCTGAGGTCAGGAGTTCAAGACCAGCCTGCCTAGCATGGTATAACCCTGTCTCTACTAAAAATACAAAAATCAGCCAGGAATAGTGGCGCACACCTGTAATCCCAGCTACTTGGAAGGCCAAGGCACAAGAATTGCTTGAACCTGGGAGGTAGAGGTTGCAGTGAGCTGAAATCTCATGACTACACTCCAGCCTGGGCTCAAAAATAAATAAATATTAGATGTTACCAGTGACCAGTGGTTACAAAATAAAATAAAATAAAAATAAATAAAATTAATAAAATAAAAATAAATAAAAATTAAAAATACAGTCACTTTTGGGGTGAAAACCCTAACCTTTATCTTGGGCCCATATGGCCCTGAGGGAGGCCCGGGGCTGCAGCTTGAACATTGCTGGCAGGCTTTGTCTCTGAGAGCTGTAAGACAGATGGCAATGTGGGACAGATGTCAGCAGAGTGACTGATTGGTATGGGACTGTCGAAGCCCATAGAATGTGCGAGACCAGCCTGGGTGAGGAGGGGCTGTCTCAGTTGAGACCTGTGTGGTGAGCACGGTGAGCCAGGTGCAGAGGCCTGGAGATAGAAGAGGGCGAGGACTGGGGGGCTGTAGATAGTCCAGGGGGGATGGGACACCAGGAACAGACCAAGGGACACAGGAGAGGTGAGGTACAGAGGCCGGTGGCATCAGCCCCTGCAGGGTGGGGGAAAGCCTGGACGCTCGGGGAGTCCTGATGACCCCAGCTGTCCCGGCAGCTCTCCCCACCTGGTGCAGGTTCGGGAGCGGATCCGCATCAATGGGCAGCCCATCAGTCCTGACCTCTTCACCAAGTACTTCTGGCGCCTCTACCACCGGCTGGAGGAGACCAAGGTGCCCCATGCAGGAGTGCTGGTGGGTGGGTGGGGTTGGGGGTGCTACCTGTTCCAGCACCCCATCTCCCCAGAGGAGGGGCTGCAGAGGCTCTGGGCTTTGACATTTCCCTGTGCCACAGGACGGCAGCTGTGTCTCCATGCCCTCCTACTTCCGCTTCCTGACACTTATGGCCTTCCACGTCTTCCTCCAAGAGAAGGTGTGTGCCCTCTCCCTAGAACCCTGCATCTGAGGTCTTGGGAACGGGACCCTCAGCAGGCCTGGGGGCTCCCTGCTTCCATCTGGCCTCTGGGTACCCTCATACCCCCTGCTGTGCCCTCTGATCTTTGGCAGGTGGATCTGGCAGTGGTGGAGGTGGGCATTGGCGGGACTTATGACTGCACCAACATAATCAGGTGAGTGCAGTTGCTCAGGGCAAGGGGTGGCAGCCAGGAGAGCCTCACCTGCCACCTGGTGGCTCAGGGCAGGGCCCTCATGGCCTTTTCCTCTACTACAGGAAGCCTGTGGTGTGTGGAGTCTCCTCTCTCGGCATTGACCACACCAGCCTCCTGGGGGACACGGTGGAGAAGATCGCATGGCAGAAAGGGGGCATCTTTAAGGTGACCAGGCAGACTGGGGGAAGGAAGAGGCGTGGCAGGCTTGGGCTTTGCTAAGCCCAAAGAGGCAAGGCTGGAGCAGGGCCATTCAGGACAAGGTCCTGGGCATCAGTGGGGTCTGTGTTCTCATCCTGGCTTCGCTGTGTGACTGGAATGAGTTGAGCCTCCTCTCCAGCCTGTTTCCCCATTGAAACATGAGGGATAGCTGGGCATGGTGGCTTATGCTTGTAATCCTAGTACTTTGGGAGGCCGAGGCAGGAGGATCACGTGAGGTCAGGAGTTTGCGATCAGCCTGGCCAACATGGTGAAACTCCGTCTCTACTAAAAATACAAAAATTAGCCAGGAGTGGTGGTGTGTGCCTGTAGTTTCAGCTACTGGGAAGACTAAGGTAGGAGAATTGCTTGAACCCGGGAGGCAGATGTTGCAGTGAGCTGAGATCGTGCCACTGCACTCTAGCCTGGGGACAGAGTGAGACTCTGTCTCAAAACAACAACAACAACAAAACCCCAGAAACATGAGGGATGAGAGGCAGTGGTAGCCTAGACCCAGGGATGTGGGGCCAGATAGGAGTGTGAAAGATGCCCAGCAGCCCTTTCTCTTTCCTTGTTCCCTCCACAGCAAGGTGTCCCTGCCTTCACTGTGCTGCAGCCTGAAGGTCCCCTGGCAGTGCTGAGGGACCGAGCCCAGCAGATCTCAGTGAGTCTGATTGGAATGGGGCAGCGGCGGTGGTGGGGGCGTGTGTCCCTCCTGTTTGAGGCATCATTCCTTCCTTTGGGGCATCAGTTTGCTCATCTGTGCAGTGAGGAAGCTGGGCCAGCTCCTGGGCCAGCTGGAACACATCAGTTCTGGGAGCAGGGCTTGGTGGCTGGGGGAGGGGAGGGCCTCTGCTAACCTGCTCCTGCCTGTCTCCCCCAGTGTCCTCTCTACTTGTGTCCGCCACTGGAGGCCCTGGAGGAAGGGGGACTGCCACTGACCTTGGGCCTGGAAGGGGAGCACCAGCGGTCCAATGCCGCCTTGGCCTTGCAGCTGGCCCACTGCTGGCTGCAGTGGCAGGACCACCATGGTGAGTGGGCAGCTGAGTGGGCAGGCAGGTGGGCGGGACCTGTGGAGACTGCCTAGGAGGGTCCTGGGCACACTCGGTCTCACACACCCTGCAGATGCTGGGGAGCTGAAGGCATCCAGGCCAGGCCTCCTGTGGCAGCTGCCCCTGGCACCCGTGTTCCAGCCCACATCCAACATGCGGCTTGGTGAGTTGGACCTTCCTGCCCAGCGCCCTTTCAGATTTTTTTTTTTGTTTGTTTGTTTTCTGTTTGGGAGATAGAGACAGTTTGAAGTGGTGCCTAAGAGAAAGGACTCTGAAGTCAGCAAACCTCCCAGGCCTTGAGTTCATCAAGATCTCTTTCTGAGCCTGTCTTCTCATCTGCCAAATCGGATGATGATGGGAGCCATTGCCAAGGGCTGTGGTGGGGATTTGTTGAGGTGACATCACTAAGGTGCTAAGTCCAGAGCCTGGCCAATGCGGGATAAAGTGCCAGCCAGTGGTAGCTGCTGTCACTGTCACTATCATCATCATCAGACCCTGAGGTCCTGGAGGAGGGTGATCCAGTCATCTCCCCCCAAAGCTTTCAGCACCCAGCAGGTGCTCATGCTGTTAAACCCCTTCAGCAAATGGTGGGCCCACTGTGTGCCATGCCTGGTGTCAGGGGCAAGTGACAAGGTCCTAGAGACAGGCAAACAAACCTCGGATCACGTTCCGGCTCCAGCTAAGGGCTCTCAGGCTGTCAAACGGGAATCATACATGATAGCAGCCTCTCTCAGGGTTGCCTGGAAGATTCCACCAGATGAGGCAGCCGAAAAGCCCAAGCCAGTGTGACTGGTGCTAGTAAGAAGCTCCCGGGCTGCCGGGGTCCTCAGAGTGCTCAGAGGGCAGGCGCGGCCTGTGGGGTCTGGGAGAGCGGACTCAGGAGTGTGTGTGCGGAGTTGAGGACCGGGGTGGGAGAGAGCCTGAAGGACTGCCTTGCTGCCCTCCCCCAGGGCTTCGAAACACGGAGTGGCTGGGCCGGACGCAGGTGCTGCGGCGCGGGCCCCTCATCTGGTACCTGGACGGCGCACACACCCCCAGCAGCGTGCAGGCCTGCGTCCGTTGGTTCCGCCAGGCGCTGCAGGTCCGCGAGAAGCTGAGCAGGTGAGGGGCGGGGCCAGAGGCGGGGACTGGGCCGGCCCAAGGGGAGGGGAGGGGTGAGCCCACATGGAGGGGCGGGATTGTGGGCGGGGACAGGGGGTGGTGCGGTGGGAGGACCGGGGCGGGGCAGAGGGGGGCGTTCTCTGACCCAGCTCCTCACCTCTGGCTCAGTGGGCCCGAGGTTCGAGTCTTGCTCTTCAACACCACTGGGGACCGGGACTCGGCGGTCCTACTGAAGCTGCTGCAGGTAAGGAGCCGACTTGGAGGTTGGGCGGCAGGCATTCCTGAAGCCCTGGGTCTGGTGGTGTGACCCTGGAGGGTGTCAACTCCTTTCCTTTCAGTTGTATTGGGCATTAGATGTGACAAGGTACATGTGCTGGTTCCGCCAGGCTCTGCAGGGCCACGGGGAGTCCAGTCACAGGCCATTACTCATTCTCCCATGTGTCCAGACTCAAGTCCAGGCTTAAGAGGAGGGCCACCTCGTGGCTAAAGGTGCAGGCTCTGGACTCACCTATCATGCCCCTTTAGGCACTAGCATATTACCCTGGATGAGAGGTGGCATTTCTCTGAGCCTTAATTTACCTTTCCATAAAACGAGGTGGCTGCTAAGAGTACCCGCTTCTCAAGTTTGGTTGAAGGAGTCACTGGGCCTTTCTCTGCTTGGGGAAACTGAGGCTGCCCCAAGCTATCAGGGCTGAATTGGCCCCTATGTATCATCTTCCATTTCACAGACCAGGAGGCTAAGGCTGTATCCAGAACCTCCCCTATGTACTCACAGCCTTTTCCCAGCTTGGATTTGGGGCCCCCTCACTATCTGAGTGACCTTAAGCAAGTCCTCTTGACCTGTGGACTCTGTTCCCCCAACTGTATAGTAGGCTGGGGCTTCACTGCCCAGCCCACAGGCCAGGCTGCGTATGCTGAGGCAGATGGAGGCAGGGCACTGAAGTGCCTTGACTGGGTTCATACAGAAATGATTCTAGTTGTAGAGGAGGCTGCATCTCCAGAGATGTGGGCTCAGGGGCCATGTGGAAGTTGGGAGACATCCTCTCAGGGGTCTGACACCAAGTCTTTACCTCGGCCTTCTAGCCCTGCCAGTTCAACTATGCTGTCTTCTGCCCCAACCTGACAGAGGTGTCATCCACAGGCAACGCAGGTGAGAGGTGACAGGCATGGTCCCTGGGGAGTGGCTGGGGAACCCTGAGGTAGCTTCCAAACTGGAGTTTTGGGGTAGGAGATGAATTTGTTTGATTGTATAAGCACGCTTTAGGGTACTTATGCACTTATACACCAGAGTATACTTGGTTTAACTTTTTTTTTTGAGACAGAGTCTCGCTTTATCGCCAGGCTGGAGTGCAGTAGTGCGATCCTGGTTCACTGCAACTTCTGTTTTCTGGTTTCAAGCAATTCCTCCTGCCTCAGCCTCCCGAATAGCTAGGACTACAGGCACACACCACCATGCCTGGCTAATTTTTTTGTATTTTTAGTAGAGATGGGGTTTTACCATGTTGGCCAGGATATTCTCGATCTCTTGACCTCGTGATCTGCCTACCTTGGCCTCCCTAAGTACTGGGATTACAGGTGTGAGCCACCGCGCTTGGCTACTTGATTTAATTTTTGAGACAGAGTCTTACTCTGTCACCTAGGCTGGAGTGTAATGGCATAATCTTGGCTCACTGCAACCCCTGCCTCCTGGTTTAAATGATTGTCATGTCTCAGCCTCCCAAATAGCTGGGATTACAGGCATGTGCCAACACGCTCAGCTAAATTTTATATTTTTAGTAGAGACAGGGTTTTGCCATGTTGGCCAGGCTGGTGTCAAACTCCTGTGCCTCAAATGATCTACCTGCCTCAGCCTCCCAAAGTGCTGGGATTACAGATGTGAGCCACTGTGCACAGCCAGCATTTTTTATTTTATATGAAATAGAGTAGAATAGAAAATACCAGTGTGCATTGCATGAAGTAAGGGTAGGTCCTGTTTGGTGAAGATTGTTCTGTTCCAGGCATATGTATAAGTGAGTGAGTACTGAGTTGCAGTGTAAAATGTGTTTTTTACAATGTATCGTGTTTAAAAAGTTTGAAATAGTGCAAAAAATGCAGATGCCAGGCTGGCCTGGTGCCTCATACCTGTAATCCCAGCACTTTGGCAGGAGGATTGTTTGAGCCAAGGAGTTAAAAGCCAGACCTCATCTCTACAAAAAATAGAATTAGCCAGGTGTGGTTGTGCATACCTGTGGTCCTAGCTACTCAGGAGGCTAAAGTGGAAGGATCGCTTGATGCTGGAAGGTGGAGGCTGCAGTGAGTCATGATTGCACCACTGCATGGCAGCCTGGGTGACAGAGAAAGACCCTGGACCCTGTCTTAAAAAAAAAAGATCTCCAGTCCCCACATCAGTATAGCTGGGGAGACTTCTGGAATCTGCATTTTTTTCCTATATATTTAATTTTTTAAATTGTAGTTTAGGTTCTGGGTTAGGAATCTGCATTTTTAACTAGCATCCCCAGAAATACCTGTGCCCACTTGGTGATGGGGTCCAGTTGGATGTCCATTTTATAGATGGAGACAGTGAGGCCAGGGTGGGGAAATGGTGCCTAGTGGGCAAAAGCTTTGGAGCCAGACTGTCTGGCTCTGCCTTGTGACCTTGGGCAAGTCACTGAACCTTTCTGAGCCTCTGTTTCTTCATTGTGTCCATGGAGAAGACCACTAGCAGACTGCTGGCCTGACGCATATAAAGGGCCGGGCACTAAGCAGGCGCTCATGGCGCACCCGCCCCTTTTCCAGCCCTTTCCCCTACTCCTCCCCTTCAATGACATGCCTGTCTCTGCCTCACAGACCAACAGAACTTCACGGTGACGCTGGACCAGGTATTGCTCCGCTGCCTGGAACACCAGCAGCACTGGAACTGCCTGGACGAGGAGCAGGCCAGCCCGGCCCTCTGGAGCGCCCCCAGCCCGGAGCTTGCTGGGCCTGCATCCCTGCTGCTGGCGCCCCACCCACCCCACAGCAGTGCCAGCTCCCTTGTCTTCAGCTGCATTTCATATGCCTTGCAATGGATCAGCCAAGGTCGAGACCCCGTCTTTCAGCCACCCAGTTCCCCAAAAAGCCTCCTCACCCACCCTGTGGCATGCAGTGGGGCTAGCGTACTCCGTGAGGCTGCTGCCGTCCACGTGCTGGTCACTGGCAGCCTGCACCTGGTGGGTGGTGTCCTGAAGCTGCTAGAGCCTGCACTGTCCCAGTAGTCAAGGCCCAGGGTTGGAGGTGGGAGCCCCCCACAGCTGCCTGCATTCTGCCCATGAACTCACATACTAGGTGCCTTTTGTTACCTGCTTTCCTGGTTCTGTCTAGACTGGCCTAGGGACCAGGGCTCTGGGATGGGAGGCCAGGAGAGGACATCCTCCGTTTTGAGGCTCTGTGCCTTGGCCTCTCCTTCTTCCCCTTCCTCCCAGCTGAGATGGCAGACGGCTGAGTTAGGGGCTCCCCAGGTCTCTCACTGTTCCAGTGGCCTGGCCACTCAGCCTGTCTTCCCCCACACCCCGCCTGCCTCCTGGCTCAGGCCCAGCTTATTGTGTGTGCTGCTGGCCAGGCCCCGGGTCCTGCTGGGTGCTGGGTGGTAGATTTCCTCCTACCAGTGCTTTCTGGGAAGGGAGAGGGCCTCTGCCTGGGACACCCTGGGACAGAGAGTGGGTGGAGTGAATTAAAGCCTTTGTTTTTTTAAAGAAATGGCAAAGCCTTCGACTGACACTTGACCTCCTTCTCCCTCAGCAGAGGCAGGGAGAGAGGGGCTGCAGGTGGTCAGGGACCTGTGCTGTATAGAGGGAGTCTGGCTGCATGGCCGGGAACAAGTCCCTCTCTCCCTGTGCACCTCAGGTGGCCCGTCTGTAACATCGGAAGACTGGACTGATGCCTGTTGACTATATGCCAGGCAGTGCTTTCTGCAGACCCATCTTATGATGTGAATTATACCCACTTGACAGGCGAGGAATCTGTGACTGGCCTCAGGAAGCATGTGCCTACTGTTGTAAGCCAACAAGTGGCAGGCTCAGGATTGAACTCAGCAGTCAAGGGCCTGTGTTCAGAACCCAGAATGAGTGTGGCTGGGCTTCCTGGGGTCTGCTGTCTTGCAGCCTTAGTCCCGTGGTGCTGCCGAGGGGTGATAGGCAGAGGGCAACTGACTGAGTCAAAACCTGCTATGCCTTGGCTGCTACTGTTCAGGATGCCACCCCTGCCAGCAGGCCAAGCCCAGTGGGGACCAAGGACAAGAGCAACCCTGTCCTCTGCCCTCACCCCAGCCCTGTTATGAATGTCACTGCCCTTCTCCCAGCTCAACCCAGCACTGGTTTCATGGTCTGATTTATTGGTGGTGAATACACAGGGGTGGGCCCAGGACAAGCAGCTTGGATTCTCCCCCTCTGCCGGCTGCCTGATCAGCAGAGGGAGCTCTGTGTGGCAGAGGAGCTAGGCTCCCAGTGCCCACTGTTCTTGCCATCCGCTGGGCTCCTCTCTCCCCTGCCAGTTAGGCAAGTCCAGGTATGGAGGCTACAGGAATAGATCCAGGTGGCTCTGGGCTGGGCCTGCTTCTGTTCCCTGCAGGGAGGCGCTGTCAGCCTGGCTGGGCTGGTCTGGATCTGTTTTGAGTTCTCCCCTCCTGCCCAGCTCAGTTCACCAGTGCCAGATCCAGGTTCAAATGACAGGGACTTGGGTTTTTACAACTGTGTGGCAAGTGGTCTCCATGGTCCTGGGCAGCTGTATCCCAGGCTGAGTTAAAGGTTCTGTGGAGTGGGGTGGAGAGACCCCAAGATGTTCCAAGCCAGTGGCCCAGCTGGCAGCAGGCCTCTGAGAGGGAGGCGGGAAGGGCAGGCGCAGAGAGCAGGCTCCATCCTGGGTCCAGTGGAGGACTGGCTCCCAGGGTGAGTTCATGCCTGCGCTCCTGGCTGGTGGCTGCTCAGTCTCCTGCTGGGCGAGTGCGGGGAACCCGGGGCTATGCCATGCTGCTGGTGGAGCAGGGGGTGCTCTGGGTGCTCCCGATGCTGTGGTTGGTGCTGCTGCTCTCTGAGGAGGCCGGGGCAGCCACCGCCACCACGGGCTCCTGCTTGCGGGGGGGACCTGGGAGCAGGGGCAGGGGCGGAGGTCAGGGTCCTGGCCAGAGCTCCCCAATCTCTCAGAGGTTTCACTGGGCTCCCCCGGGTGGGTGGACGGGTCCGGCATGCTCACTGCGGGGGCCTGGGGTACTCACGCGTGTGCGAGTAGATGTACCAGAGCGCAGCGGTGAGCAGGGCCCCGATGAGGAAGGCACCAAAGGTGATGCCCAGCACGGCGGGCAGGAGGAGGCCTTTGCTTGTGCAACCTAGAGAGGGCCAGCACCATCAGCACTGCTGCCTCTGCCCCCGCATCCCCTAGCCTGTTACACTGGCCCTGCTGTATAGGGCTTTGGTGCCAGCCCTGCTCAGCCATGGACCCTCAACTTCTCTGAACCTCAGTCTCCTCTTGTAGCAAATGGGCTTATCATAGCCAGGCCTGGCATTGAGCCATGGTTGCTAAAACCGCCCACCTAGAGGGCCCAGCCAGGCCTTGTGGGTTGTGCCTCTGCCCCTTGATGCTGATAGAGATGCGTTTTCAGGGAGAATGGATGCAGTAATGTGAGGAAACTGAGGCTCAGGAGTACAGAGCCTTCCTCATCTGCTGTGTGACCTTAGGTCAGCCCTACTCCTCTCTGAGGTCTTTAGCAGGCAGAGCGAGGGCTAGAGCGGCTCCCAGCGCCCTGCAGCTCTGCTGTTGGACTGTTCCAAACCTCATTCCCTCCACGTTCCTGACTCCTGTGTGACTGTGGGCCACGTGGCCTTCCCTTCAGCCTCTGAGGTCCCATCTGTGTCACGGGGTTATTAGCCCTGCCTTCTTGGTCCTGGGCTGGGACTGGAGGCTCCATCCTGGCCTGGATGGGGTGGCAAAGAGGTAGATGTCCCCATCCCTCACCCCTGCCTTTGCTGCCAGTGTCAGAGACTCTTCTCCCTGGTGTGGGCCTGGGCCTGCGGGGAACTGACGGAAAAGCTAGAGCAGGCATCCTGTAGGGAGGGGCCTCAAGGAAGGCAAGGCCGGCACCCCCACCCCAAAGGGCCTTTGTCCCACCCAGGAGGCTCCAGTCTCCCAGCAAGGTCAGCCAGTAATTGGGATGGAGTGGACCTGTGAGTGGGGCCAGAGGCCTAGACTCCCACCCCACAGGGCAGTCCTGAGCAAGGGCTCTCCATCTGCAAAGTGCAGCTCTGGCCCCTGCTCTAGGCTGCTAGGGCACTGGAAAGCCCTTCTCCTTCCCCTTCTGGGCCGCTTTCTCTGGGGCCCCCCTGCCATGTGCTATGTGCCCGGGCCGTTTCTCGGGGCTGCCCACTGTGCCTAACTTTGACGTCAGCCGCTAGAACAAACCTGAGATACCCGGAAGCTCACCAGACAAGTCAGGGCTGATGTTTAAGCGCATGAAGACAGTGCTGCGGAATTCCTGGAGTAGGGAGAGAGCAGTATGTGGCACAGCCTTCGGGAGGCAGCTTCCAGCTTACTCCCTGGCTCTGCAACCCCGGCCCCACCTAGAGCCTCAGCTTTGAATCCCATCTCCACCGCTTCCTAGCTGGATGCCTTTGGGCAAGTCCTCGAAGATCTATGCTGTGAGAGGGAGCCTACTGGATAATCCTTGGCTGCTGCCAGAATGTTTCCTGTGAGTTCCTGGAAGCCCTGATGCCCAGGAGCACTGTGGGAGCACTATGCATCCCTCACCCTTGTGAATGCTTTGGAGCTATGAGCCAGGTCAGCCCAGGGAGGAGACTCCCACAGTGAGGAGCCTCTCCCTCTTCACTGTGGCTGGAGGGAGAGGCCCACTTAGGGGAGGCTTAAAGGCCTCCCTAGCTTCATGTGACCAGGTAAGTTTGTAATCCTGGAGGCCTGTCTGTGCAAGGGCCTGGGGGTGACTTGGGGGGCATCCAGGATAGACTGCCTGAGAGTGGGGCTCAAAAGATGGTCAAATGTTGTGACTGGCAAATACAGAAAGCCAGGAATATGTGTCCTTTGTCCCACCTCTCCTCCCTAAGGTCTCCTGTTCTTTGAAATGATGCTGGTGATCATAGTACATGGATATGAGAGTGGCTGAATTCCTGGGTGGGATGGTGGGAAGATTCGTGGATCCCTGGGTGGGACCGTGGGAAGGGAAGATGGCTGGATCCCTAGGTGGGATGGTAGGAAGATGGCTGGATCCCTGGGTGGGATGGTGGGAAGATGGCTGGATCCCTGGGTGGGACGGTGGCAAGATGGGTGGATGCCCGGGTGGGACGGTGGCAAGATGGGTGGGTGCCCGGGTGGGACGGTGGCAAGATGGGTGGGTGCCCGGGTGGGACGGTGGCAAGATGGGTGGGTGCCCGGGTGGGACGGTGGGAAGATGCATGGGTCCCTGGATAGGATGGCAGGTGGGTGGGAGGGTGGATGGATGGACAGATGGAAGAATAAGTGGAAGGATAGATGGACAGTTGCAGCTGCATAGCCTACCAGTACCCAAGACACAGCAATCCCACCAGAAAGCTCTAAGGTGGCAGAAAGTGCCACAGACTGCCAGGCCATGTGCCTAACTAAGGCTCTGCCCCTGACCAGCTGGCCCCACATCCCCATGGGCTGCAAACCACAGTTCTGGAAGCTCCCACTTGAAGCTGGGCCCAGCTCAGGCCCCACTCACCTGGGACCCGGTCTTGGGACGCAGGGCTACAGTGCAGCGGAGGGTGCCGGCTTTGGGTATGGGTGCTGTGTAGACGTGGAAGAGGAAGCTGAAGCGTGGGTCACCCTCAGGGCTTGGGGACAGCAGGTTTACACAGCTGTTCTTGGCCACCCGGCCCTGGATGAGTTCCATGGTTCCTCCCTCAGGCCCCAAGTCCAGGTGGCAGCTGTCTAGCTCGACTAGGAGCTCGGGGATCAATGGGGACATTTTCACCTGCATGGATAGGTAGGGCCATGTGCCATGGGCAGTCGCTCTTAACCCCACCCCACCTGCTGCCTTAAAATCTCAGCTAGAAGGAAGAGTTCCCACTCAAGTCCTCACAGTGGAAGGAAAGGCATGGGCCTTCCTGGGACAGAGGAGGAGGACAGGACAACATCCTTGTCAGTGTCCCTTAGCAATACTTTCTCTGTCTCTGCCTTTCCCATGCACCCAGAATGTCTCCCTCCTGACTGTGGGATTCTCATCTCCTCTGGAGTTACGGGGGAAGAAAGGCAGAGAGGAAGTTCCTGAGCTGGGAGGCCCGAGGGGTGACAGGCTTGCCAGGTACCTGCACAAAGCCCTGCTGCCCCAGCTCGATGGTGCTGGAGGCCTGGAGGAAGCGCGAGCTGAGGTAGAGGCCCAACTGGAAAGAGAGGCTGTCCATGTTGAGGCAGTACACCTTTTTCTGGGGGAGAACAGGAGGGAGATTCTGTCAGTCCAGCAACAGCAACCAGGAGGATGAGGGGTGTAAGGAGGAATGGAGGTCATGGCCCCGTGGAGTTGCCTGACTCTCTTCCTCATTTTTTTTTCAAACAAAACAAACTAATGTTTGGCTGGGCGCAGTGGCTCACGCCTATAATCCCAACTTTGGGAGGCCGAGGTGGGCGGATCACAAGGTCAAGAGATCGAGACCATCCTGGCCAACATAGTAAAACCTCATCTCTACTAAAAATACAAAAAATTAGCTGGGCATGGTGGCGCGTGCCTGTAGTCCCGG